TAAAAACAACAATTAATCTCTCTCTCTCTCTCTCTCTCTCTCTCTCTCTTCCATTATTTGATTTCACACACACACACACACACACAAAACACACACAAACACAGAGAAAATTACAACAAAAACAATGAAAAACGCATATGAAGCACATAATGATACAGACTTGTATGTGAATAATGGTTACATAAAATGTAAATAAAGCACATGAAGCCGATAGAAGCAAACAACTAGGTTCAACTAGGTTTGACAGAAGCAAACAACTAGGTGAGATTGTCATCATCCTCGAGAAGCCGACAACGATTGAAGCTATTGGAAAGGGGTTTTGGATCTCAGCTAGAACTAGTGGGTGTCGCGGATCTCGACGACAGTAGAGAAGAGAATTTCGGCGAAGATGGTGAGGGAGATGAGGGACATGGAGAGGTTGTGGAGGGCTGAGGGGGAAGGGGCGGTGGCTGCGGCGGAGGAGAAGAGAGAGGTGGAGGTAAAGGAAGAGAGAGAAAGTGATGTAGACGAAGATGGTGGGAAGATTTAGTTGAGAGTATAATAGTCTGATAAAATATTTAAATAATAAATTTTGTCCTTTATACAAAACTTTATAATTATGAGGGTGCAACGCCCTAATTTTCATACCCAAATTACAATACAATAATCATGGCTCTTTTTTAAGGAAAACCAATCATACAATCCCATACTTGCATTTCATAATGTAAATAGTTTCTCATGCTATAATACATTAATCCGACAACAAGTAAAGAAGCAAATAAATACCCCCAAGGGTTTACAAGTTTCCAAGGCTTAAGCCTGGTTACACAAAATCGGTTATTCGAACCCACACATACAAAGCCCTTGGCTTACAAATAGAATCACAATAAATGAGAACCTTGTGCTCTCAACATACACATTTCCACGCCCTCAGTTAGGCGGATTCACCATGTCTTTTCCTGCACAAAAATCCCGTAGGATGAGCATATAGCCCAGTAGGAAATCCTTCACAAAGTATATACATTTTATACAAATCTCAAGAAATGAATGCATATGTCACGCCATGCCTTTTTACAAATAATTCACATTTTCATCATTTGAAAACCATCACGCTCAATGATGCCATGCAATTTTCCTATTTGTTCAAAGCTTAACAATTTAACTCAATGGGTAGTAAATACAACTCTGGTAATCCCTAGGTCTGTGTCTGCAAGTAGACTATATAAGTACTACCAATTCGTCATTTTTACCAGTATCAACTGGAAGGCTCGACACCCATAATCTATCATTTTTACTAGTATTAACTGGAAGGCTCGACACCTATCCTCTACACTACCTTTCAAAGCTTACCACCGTATTTACCCCAAAACCAATTCATGAAAACTTGTTTCTCAACATTCTTTACTCTATGCAAAGTTTTAAAATCAAATTTCAAAGCTCTTCATTATCAATGAATTGATATGCCAATGTATCAATTGATGCAATGCAACATTTTATCCATTTTCAATTTTTCCACACAATATTTCCATTGTGATCAAAATTTCCATTTCTTCTTTCAATACAATTTCACAAGATGAATAAATACATTTATTTCAATTCATCCAAGGGATAACATAACTCCCACATTTCAAGCAATCTCAAAAATTCCTATATTCCATGAAAACATCATTTATATGTAAATAAATAAACAATTTTTCTAACATCATTTATTTTGGCACACAAAACAAATATAACAACATCTTCCAAAGATTTTCAACATCTTTCTAAAAACCCCTAAATTTTTAGGTTTTCTCACCAAAACTACTCATCCCCAAAATATTTGAAGGAATCTCAACAAAATTGTCTTTCTTCAATCAATATAGTCAAAACTCTAAATTTCTATTTTAAAAGGAACTAGAAGATAAACCCATTTTCAAAAATTACTCATCTTCTTGAATCAACAATAATTTTTTTTTTGTAAAACTTAACAAATGATGATTTTGAAAATCATCTAGATCTTGCAAAAATATATATATAATTCAAAAAAAATCCCTACCTCAAGGTTGAAGAAAGATTGAGATGAAACCCCAAAATTTACGGTGTCAAAACTCGATCTCCACTGCACCCAACGAAGCCCTCGAGGAGATAACCAACTTTGGTGAAGAACTTAGGCCTAAATCCCAATGGATTTGAAGAAATCAAAGAGAGATGGTGGCTTCTAGAGAGAGAAGCTACAGATTTAGGGTTTTTGAGTGAAAATGAGATCAAAAAATGAAGCAAAACGGCGTTGCTAGAAACTGATATACATCAGGCGCGCTCGACCGAAGGAGTTCTCACTTGAGCGACCAGACAAAAAAAGGTTGCCTTGCTCGAGCGCAAGAAGCGTCGCTTGAACGTAGAATGCAAAGCTTCAGGTCTGCCACCAACGCAGACGCACGTTCAAGCTCAAGAAGTCTCGCTCGAGCGAAGAAACAATTTCACAAGTCTCGCTTGAGCGCAAGAAGCCTCACTCAAGCGACGAAGCAGATTACACAAGGCTCGCTCAAGCGCAAGAAGCCTCGCTTGAGCGAAGAAACCAAAATCTGGGCATTAACATTCTAGACCAACTAACAACCAACATGTTCCAAACACGCCCAACATAATCCAAAACTCAAATACAAAGAGTTAAAGGAAGGAAATAAGACATAGATAACAGTATATAATCACAGAATCCAAGTCCGGAATACAACGAAAGTTGGGGTAAAAACCGGGATCGCTATAGAGGGGCTTTTGAAAGTATAATTTTTTTCTTGATCCTTTTGACAATAAAAGGAAGGTAAGGGGGGTTTATAGCCAAATTTTTCAAATAATTTTGGGATGCAAATTGAGTAAATAATTTTGGAGTAATGAATAATTTAGAACTAATTCTATAGTTTTGAACTAATTATATGATATTGTTTTTAAATATAAATTTTATAATAGTTTAGTAATTTTGTTTAACGTTAAATTTGTTATAAGAATATTTTTCATTATGTGTGTGCATAGAGCGAAAATTGTGTGTAGAAATAGAAACTCCCCCATCGCCACCATCCAAAACAAGTAGGGGTTTCAAAAAAGTTGGTAGAATCAATAAATTAATTCAATCCGGCCTAACTTGGTTTAGTTCTTGGTTCTAATTTGTTGATTATTTTTTTAATACTTTTTTATACAAAAATAAAAACACAGAAGTTATTAATAAGATTTGAATATTAATCTTGATGGTGAAATTAATAAACTCTTATCAGGTTAACTAAATTAATTATTTTTAATTTATATAGTATTATAAAAAAATATAGAGTTTTTGTTATATAAAATTTCTAGGGCAATTATTAACAAGTCCTCTTTGAAAGTTGTGTGGTCTATTTAATCCCATAACCACTTGTTTATATCCAAAAGTCATGTAACGTTTTTCTTCTTCTTTGCCTTCGTTCGTCTCTTTTTCTCTTCATGATTTTTGACGATCGGTGATCGATGTTGACGTCTTGCTTCTTCTCTTTCTCTTTCTTACTTCACCGGCTATTACCGACCACCGACTCCTTACTTCACCCTCATCGATGGCGAATGAAGTGAGTTTCCGGCGAAAAAGATAAGTAGATTTACTCAAATCTGATGTAGATCTAAATCAAATTTGAGTAGATCTACATTAGATCTGGCTAGATCTAAACCAAAAATAGTTACCAAAGTACAATCCTCTCTCTATATCTATCTCTCTCATTCGATTTCTCAATTTTTCTACCCTTTCTCTATTACACACTTCTCTTTTCCTGTTTAAATGGAGAAAATTTTCGAGTTCTAAACAAGTTGTTTTCGAGTTTTAGTTACAGGGGTGAAAACTGTAAAATTTTATAGTTTCAATTTTTTTGGTATTGAAATGAATCATACTTTAAAATTGCAAAATTTTGCAGTTTGATAACATTCTTTAGAATTATAATTTTTTTGTAGTTTCATAACATGTATTTCAATTTGATTAATAAGGATAAATGTTTCATAGATTTTTCCTTTGAAACTGTAATATTTTACAGTTTCAAAGCATACTTTTTAGTTTGATCAATATTGAAAATTATTTGTTTAAACCTTACAAAAATTGAAAAATAACATATGTTTTTTTTTTTTCCTTCACATTGTTGTTGTTTTTTGTTGTTATGTTTTTTATTTTATTTTATTTTATCAAATTTTAACTCATTTTGCTATTTTTTTCCTCTAATTTTTCTATTTTTTTTCCCAGGCAATATTTTAGATATTCCGATGAGTCTCTGATGAAGTTTTTAATGTCTAGCGAATGTTCTGGACATTCTGGCGACTTCCAGTAATACTTAAAACACTTCGGCAAACTTCTGACAATATTCCAACGACTTTCTGGTGATATTGAACATTCCGACAAGTTTTCGGCGACCGTCTGACGAAAGTTTGACGGTGATGGGATGTAGCAACATCTGCAAAAAAGAATTTATAAAAGGATTTTTTTTAATAACAATTAAAAATATGTAAGACTAATTGGTAAAAGTGTTTTATTTTGGGACTAGATGAATTTTAAATTTTGTGTATGTGACTTATGAATATGTTTCCCAAATTTCTAAAACCATAGAATTCAATCGAATCAAACCAAGCCAGTTTTTATGATTCAATTCTGATTCAGTTATATACGTTCAAAGATTGGGTTCCTAATTTCTTCTAAAACCGGACCAATGCAATCATGATCAAACCTAGGCAAACAGAATGAAAAACATAGGCAGGCGATAACAGAATGAAAAACCTCGCGTGTGGAGAAAGGAAAGATTTTTATGCCTTTTATTTCTAGTAGGAATCAATTTCTTAGTCAGAGAGATCGTAGCACAGAAACACTTCTCAACCCAACTTTGTCTACTCTGTTCTGCTCTTCAAGTAATGAGTTTCCTAGTAGTTACATACTATATATATACTATACTATACTATAACCTAATTATCTTCAGCCGCCGTTACTACCATTCATCAATTTCCTCATCCCATCGATTTCCCTCCTCTTTAATCTTTTCGTTATCTGCTTCTGCATATATCTCCACCCCTCTTAATCTGTTCGGTTTTTTGAAATAATCAAAAGGGTTTTTTGTTTTCTCATTATAATCTGTGGCCATGATGAGTTCTTCTGGTTCTGGTTTGTTATTGAATGAATCCAATGATTATGAGGACGACGAAGTTGCAGAAAAATCCTTCTGTGGTCGTTATGTGAGGTACAATGAAGTATTGGACAGAGGACCACGAAACACTGTCTATATAGGCTTTGATTTAGTTGATGGAATGGAGGTCACTTGGAACAAAGTCACTGTTGATGATTCGTTTCAATCCGAGGAACACATGCACAGATTGAATACGTTGCTGAAGCCATTGAAGCACAATAACATCATCAAGTCATGCAGCTATTGGGTGGATCATCAAACCAAAACCATCAACATGATTTCTGAGTCATTCACTTCTGGGAGTTTGAGGCAGTTCCACCAGAAACACAGGAATGTCGACATCATCGCCATAAAAAACTGGGCTCGACAGATTCTTCAAGGTTTGTGCTATCTCCATACTCGTGATCCGCCTATTGTTCATGGAGATTTGACCTGTCAAAATATTTTTGTCAATGGAAACACTGGACAAGTTAAAATTGGGTATATAGGGTTACCAACTATAATGTTGCAACCCCCAGAGCTCCATGAGAAACAAATAGAATATAGCCCTGCTGTTGATGTACATTCATTTGGATTGTGTATGCTCGAATTGGTTACTTCTGAATATCCATACAGTTATAGTGATGGCAAAACTCAAGCACTGCTTGCCAAAGTGAAGGACACACAAGTTAAGCAGTTCATAGGCAAATGCCTTCTTTCAGCATCCACAATGGAACTCTTGAAAGACCCATTCTTTGAAATACCTGCTTTTACAACGTTCGTCAATGACACTCCTGATCTGGTTTCTGTTCTGGAATTTAAGATATCCAACGAGAAAAGTGAATTCAGATTGAGAGGGGAAAGAGCAGATGGAAACTCCATTTCATTAATGTTGCGCATTGCTGATAAGTGTAGTGGTCGGGCGACAAAAATTGAGTTTGTGTTTAATCTTGATGCGGATACGACTCTCTCAATAGCTTGGGAGATGGTGGAACAGCTTGAACTGCCGAAAGAGGATGTGAGTTTGATCGCGGAGTTAATGGATAACGTGATCATGAAAATGGTGCCTTGCTGGATGCCTTCCTCTGTTAGGTTTAGTGGTGTGAAATTTTCATATGGGGATCCAATCCTTGTTTCTTGATTCAATCTATTCAAGCAAAGTAAGTTTTGAGAATGAATACTGAATGATGTAATTAATACATTGCTATCTCTGATTAATACATTGAAATTAAATGATCATTTCAGGAGCTTTCACATTAACTCTTTGCTTACTATATTGGCATCCTGTTTTTGCAATTTCATGAATATTCACCAGCCAAAAACAAATAGCATTAGACATAACTAATTTTAAAACAGCATTTACATTCCATACTTCATTGCAGTTTTTCTGTTAATTTCTCTTGCTTGCATGTATAATAGACTAAGGCGAATTGATAATGTGTAATAAATTGTTTTATTGAGAGAATATGAATGCCCAAATCAATCATGAATCCCTCAGAATCAGGTGTGTTTGATTAGCTCTCCATTGTTGCTTCTAAAATCATTCAAATACGTCCATTCAAGCACAATCCTTTTGTGTCTCTGATTGTTGCATATAAACCATAGTTTCAAGGACATAAGAAGAGACTTAACAGGTTATAATCTCAATCAATGAAGTACGCATGTCAGTCCAACTCTGAACTGGACATCTCAGAGATAAGAAACGGCACTTTTGAGCCAAAATCGAAGAAGGCATTTGTTGATGTCAAAATCAGAATGATGGTCACAACAAAAGTGAATTCAGATTGAGAGGGGAAAGAGCAGATGGAAACTCCATTTCATTAATGTTGCGCATTGCTGACAAGTGTAGTGGTCAGGTGACGAATATTGAGTTTGTGTTTAATCTTGATGCGGATTCAACTCTCTCAATAGCTTGGGAGATGGTAAAACAGCTTTAATTGCCAAAAGAAGATGTGACTTTGATCGCGGAGTTAAAGGATAATGTGATTACGAAAATGGTGCCTTGCTGGATGCCTTCCTCTGTTAGGTTTAGTGGTGTGAAATTTTCATATGGGGATTCAATCCTTGTTTCTTGATTCAATCTATTCAATCAAAGTAAGTTTTGACAATGAATGTTGAATGATGTAATGTAATAACTATATTACTGTCTCTGATTAATACATTGAAATTGAATGATCCATTCAGGATCCTTCACATTAATTCTTTGCTTACTATATTGGCATCCTGTTTTTGCAATTTCATGAATATTCACCAGCCAAAAACAAATAGCATTAGACATATCTAATTTTAAAACAGCATTTACATTCCATACTTCATTGCAGTTTTTCTGTAAATTTCTCCTGCTTGCATGTAAAATAGACTAAGGCAAATTGATAATGTGTAATAAATTGTTTTGTTGAGAGAATGAATGCCCAAATCAATCATGAACCACTCAGGAGTGTTTGGTTAGCTCTCCATCTTTCACATACATCCATTCAAGCACAATCCTTTTGTCTGTGATTGTTGCATATAAACCATAGCTCCAAGGACATAAGCAGAGACTTAACAGGTTATGATTTCAATCAATGAAGTAGGCATTTCAGTCCAACTCTGAACTTGACATATCAGAGATAAGGAACATCACTTTTGAGTCAAAATCGAAGAAGGCGTTTATTGATGTCAAAATCAGAATGATGGTCACAATAAATGGAAAGAAAGAACAGGAAGTTCACAACAAAATTCAGGTAATTCTGACTTTTATTGTATTATTATTGTTGATGCAGTGTGGCTGTAATTTTTGAATGAAAAATCAAAAGCTTTCTCAACTTTTCTCCGATTGAAAACTTTGGTTGAGAGACAAAAAAGAATACTAAATTAAGACTCTCAGGCTATGTTCAGATCATAGGTTTGAGGAGGGATTGGTAAAGAGAAAAAAAAAGCGGAAAAAAAAAAAAAAAAACTTTTTTCTTGACAAATCTTTCTCAAATCCTTAATCCAAACAAACTTTTCATTTGAAAGCTACAACAGTAGGTGTTTTGAAGAAGGCATTTGTAAAAGGCATTTATTTATGTCAAAATTGTTTAATTTGTCATTTTAAATGTTTAATTATGCTATTTTTTTATTTATAAATTTTATATGAGAACAATGCTATGGGTGACTTTTTTTATTTTTTTTATTTTTGTATCTCCTCTTATATGAATATACTCAAAATTAGTTTATTTATTTAGAGATAATTATTAGACAATCAATGACAATTAATAATATATTACCATATAATTTAACTAGCATATCACCCGTGCTATGCACGGATTGTGTTTACAATTATCTATATATGTGAATTGTGATTTTTAAACGTTTTATTTTTATTTTTATTTTAAATGTCTTCTTTTTTTCCTTTTCTATATTATATTAAAGTTTAATATTTTGATAATAATCATATGTGTTGGACTTTTGAAGGAATTAAATGTCTTTTCTTTTTTATTATATTATATTAAAATTTAATATTTTGATATTAATCATATGTGTTGGACTTTTCAAGAAATTTTTTTTATACTTGTTTTAAATGCATTAAGTGTTATTATGAGGAATAATAATCATATGTGTTGGGACTTTTCAAGGAATTCATATGTGTTGGATTTCAAAGAATTTTTTTTATGATTGTTCTTAATGCATTGAAGTGTTATTATGAGAGTAAGACTTGGAAGTTGGGAGAAGTTAATAAATGGTAAGATTTTTTTTTTAAAATCAAAAAATCAGGAAATTTAAATTGGGAGATTGGAGCTCCCACAATACTTGGGGTTAAAAACTCCCTTTTGCTTAATATATAGTATAGATAGATAATTCAAAATTGCTCGAAAAAAAGAAGAAGATGATATATAGCAATCTCTTTGTATTATTTTTTCACATTCTCTCTCAATTTTGAAGGATACTAGAGACTCCAAAAATTTATCAAAATTTTTACTAAATGTCTCACATGGGTGTGGGACCCACACATGCTGGTCCCACATCCACGTGAGACATTTGGTAGGACTCACACCATGTGGGTCCCATGGTCCCACAAGAGACATTTGGTAGAAATTTAATAAATCTTTTAGGATCTCTAGCATTACTCCTCAAATTTTTTTTTTCCCCCTTCTATTCCTATCTACATCTATTTTCGTGTGTACAACTTGATATAATTTTGTTTTCCTATTTTATGAGGCATATTATTTTTTGAACCATATGATCATCCCACATAAAATCAAATTAAAAAAAATGATTATGATCGGTTGCTTATACCAAAATATAACTTTTGCATTCTAATAATTTTTATTTTTACCACAAAATTTGCGTTAGGTTGGATTGTAATTTTTGTTAAGATTTCAATTTAGTGGTGCTTATCTGAGCCAAAATCCTAGTTTCGTCAATGACTGGGGCAAGGCGAAGGTGGTGGTGGCAGGTGGTGACTGGAGTTATATAGAACTAGTAATGGTTTGAAAAATTGGGACACAGGTAGAATTGAACTTTATGATTAAGATAAAATTGTAGTAAAAATTTACATAGTCGTAGAGCACTCTAAAGAGAAAGGTAGGTGCAATTACAGCAGCACTCCTTGTACAAAAATTAGGAGATGCCAAATTACCAATCAACCGTTTGGTCATTTATTGTTATTATTATTTAAACAATAATAATAAAAATAAATCACATAAGCCCTTTCATTTTAATTATCATGAAAATTATTTGTTGTGAATCACTTCTCTATCAATCATCAATTTTCAAAATGTCTCAATGGAGTAAAAGTGTAACACGAGACTATTGTATAATTTTTCAATATGTATAATAGAATTAATAAAAAAGTTAATTACACAATCATAAAATTGTTAATTCACTGTCCTCAATGCATGCTGACTAGTTCGTTATGCTCTGCTTCCCTCTAGAAGATCAAAGGGATTAACGGCCACCAAAGCTTCTCTTGCCCAAATAATTGATCATGGACATTGTTATTTTTTATTTCTAATAAATATATATATATATGCGCTAATTTCTAGACAATACTCAATAGTATAAATATTAAAAATTATAATTAATTATGAGAACGTAGATAATAATGTGTAACTGGGGTGTGCTTGCCAGCCTCATCCTTACTTTCCTATTTCACGTAGGACTTGACTTGCCTAACAAGTATATAGAATTTCTCTTTTTAAGTGGGTTGGGTTTAATCTCTTCAAGAGTCTCATTCTTAACCAATTCATTTACGTTGTGTTTGGTTGGAGGATTTGAGGAGAGATTTGAAAAAAAAAATAGAAAAGATGTGTGAACTAGGTGAAATATAAGTATGTTTTATTCATATTTCACCTATCTTTTTCATTTCCCTTTCTAAATCCCTTTTCAAATTCCTCAACCAAACACAACATTAGGAGTCATATTCCCATTCGGATTTCATCACCTAAGAGTCATACTTGACTGGGGTTTGACTAATGTCACAACCTTAACCAATATTATACTATCACATGACACCACATCATTGTATCACATAAATCAGATCTTACACCTACATGGTTCCACTAAAAAATACATCCCCACAATATATATCGGGTTTGGTGGAGAAAGTTTGGCTTTTACTTAAACTATTTATTTATTTATTCTTTTAAAATTTAAACTTAGATTATTTATTAAACAAGTTTAAAGTTACTTTTGCACATTTAATTAATTTGACAAGGTTTATCAACAGCTAATTGTATATTCACTAAACAAAAAGGGGATGTAATGCGCACATGTTAACTCGCTTCGAGCTTTAGATCATTTTATCAACTCATTCGACCTCCAAGTATTAATTAATGAGTAATCATCTTTATATTTTTCCACAACAACGTGTCATGAGATTGAGTTTTAATTGGTCAATTCTTAAGGATGTGTTACATTTTACTTCCTTTTTTTTTTTTTTTTTTTTT